AATGAATAGTGTCTGAGCTTTGCATTATAATGGAGAACTGTCTCAGGCAGATTTGTACTGCCTTAAAACGATGCATCCATCTGCATTTATTCACCCGGTTGTGTGTGCTCAGGCCTTTGTGCTTTAATTTCTCTCCTATATGGGAATGCAGCTTGTCCCGAGTGTGTGCGTGTGCACTGTTAAATATTTGTGATGGGAAGTGGTTTGTTTTGTTTTGCACCTAGATTTCTTATTGTTTCCCGTCATGGATAGTGCTTGTGTTCTTTTGTGGTTGGGAAGTGTTGCCGTATCCGGAGAGGTTACACTGCCTTTGTGTGCATGGAGGTGTGGGTGTACAGCCCCATTATTTAACCCAAGCTATCAGTCACACTCAACAAGCCTATCATATTGGACTATTTGGACTTCGCGCAGGCTAAAGTTAGCACTATTATCTGCCTGTCACTGGCTAGCTGTGTTGAGGTCCCTTGTGGAAAACCAATTGTGTGAGCGAATGCCTTGCTGCTCCTGGGGTGCACACAGCATCTTTTAAAAGGGCATTCTCCATTTATCATGAGTGTTTTTCACTTTCTCAAAAATGCAGTAAAAACGCATGATTATGACCTTTAGTGCTTAATATTCAAAGTTAATTCCTTTAACCATTTTTCAGGTTTAGGAGACCAACCAAAAGGGGGAAATTATCTTAAAGACGAGTAGGAAAAGCTCGTCTGAGTTTTAATCATCTCAGCTCATCTCTCAAGATTTCTTGGCGAGGGCTCATCAATCATCTTGTATGCAGACAGTGTGTTTGAATTAATAGTAATTTCAAATGAGACACGTCATTTGCATGAACACACTGTCTATCTCATAAAAATTACCAAGCCCTCCCTGCTGGTGCGATAAGTATCTGGACATGAAACAGTTGAAAATCTGAGACACGGCACTTAACCCAACAACACGATCCCACTTCATTACACGGTGCTACATGGGGGGCCTCCAAGCAGGCGTGACTAGTAACATCATACTTGGTATGCCCTCATCAGATAACACTGAGGATCAAGTTTCATTTTGTTGCAAAAGCATGGTTTAGAACACCTCTAGTTTCTTGAAAATCATCTCTGGTTTCCTTCAGGTCAGAAATTGACTAAGGAGAAATGCCCGAGGGTGGTGGGGTGGATCGGACTGATGGCTGCCTCACCAGGGATGTACAGAAATCCATCTGAAAGTTGAAAAATGTAAACAGGATTTCATTGTTCATTTGATTTCATCTGCCAGTGATTTAAAACAAAGTAGCGCACACTTAAGAAGAAATAACTTTCTCCCCCTCCGTCCGTGTTGCAGACTGCTGAACGGTTGACAGTATAATTATCTTTGTTTATGTGTGGCAATGGAAATATGCCACCTATTTGCTAATTTATCACTTTAATTTCTGTTGTCTTGTCAGCAGTGTTAGAAATCAATGTGCTTCATGTGTCAGACAATTAGTAGTTCTAACCCGCAATATGGTGAGGGGGTAGTTTTTTTAATCTGTTGTCGTTTCCATTTGTCCTTTGTGTAAAAATATTAAGAATATGTGTGCTTTATTTTTTAGAAATTATTTAGAACCACTTTTAGCATTGCTTGTGTGAACCGTGGCTGTGGTGGCTGTGCTTCCATAAACATCCATAAAGATGTAGAATTACAAAATGCAGGGTTTTGTATATCTATCTTCTTCCACGTGGATGTAAAAATTCTGTCTTTATTGACCCTGACAAAACATGCAGTCTGTTCAGAGATTCCGTTTGACTGAAAGCATAAAAGCGTTCATCTTCAAGAATTATATTTGACACTTCAATGGTAACACTCAGAGTTAAATTACAATGGACTGAACAGGATTTCTTTATGAGTGCTGAATGGATTTCTTTGTTCTTTATGGGCCAAAGTATTATCCGCTGATGGCTGTGCAGCAACCTCAATGAATGACTCACAGGAAAACAACTAGCTGTGTGTTTGAATATGCAAAGTGTAGGCAAAAAGGATGTAAAACAACTGCCATATTGTATTTGGGTTTTGGCTATCTGTCTTGCTTTTATGAGTTAGAGACAGAAACAAATGGGGAGCCAGAATAAAATACCACAAAATGCTCTAACGAATTGCTGGGACAGAAATGACACGATACACTTTCCACAGGCACCGCGGCTCAAACAGAGATGTCACATTTATCCGTTTGGGTTTTTACACTTTTAATTGAAGTTCCCAATTGTCCCATGTGGAATTGAACTTTTGTGTACTTGATTTTCAATGTCAGGTGTTTTCATTGACAAAGCAGTCACACAGCACGTCTAATTACAACATAACAGGTTTGTGTCTCACCCAGCTGGAGTAGCCTGTTCACATCATCAATGTCAAGATTGCAGGAGGTGTGTCATAGTAAATTAGCAAAGGCAAAAAGTCTCACATTTTCTACATTTTTGCCAGAAAAGAAAATTGTCTGAATGTAAACGCTGTTAATGAACACCTTCTCACTTGACGCTCATTGCCTCCAATTCACCTTTGTCTCCTACCTACATGTGCAGTCCATTAATATATTACACCTGCCCTCATTGTCTGCATCACCCAGGAAAAGAAAAGAAAAGCTTTTTGAAGAAACAGTGAGGCAGTAATGAAGAAGTCTCCTTGTTGGTCTGAGAACAGACGCTGCAGTTGTTGCTAGGTTTGCTAAATATTGGCCAGCTTATCTAAGGGAGTTATCCTAAATCCCTCTCAGAACAAGTACCCTTGAAACGTCAGCACCATAATGTATCACAAGGCTCCTTCTGGAATACAAGAAGAGCTGGCAATACCAAACCACCGCTCTGCGCTTTTTTCTTTCTCTCTTTTTCATTTGATTTTTGCCAAGCCTTTTCTCATAAATATGTATTTTTGGGAGTTCTGTTGATCATGGTTTCTGTACCTAAGCTCACATGTCTGTCTTGTCTGGAGAATGAAAATTAACTGCTCTGATTGTGTGTTTTTGTTTTTTATCTTTCTTCTTTGCTTTTTGATTTCTCCACCAAGGTGTGCATCTCTGAAGTTTATCTTTTGGGGCAGTTAATGCTCACAAGCTGTGTAACACTCATTCCATGGGAGTTATTCCTTTATTTCTATATTTTCATCTCTGTCATTCCTGTTTCTACTTCCAGTACTTTTACTGAAGAAATAGTTCCAAAGGTTGTGAACTTCATGATATAATGCTTTTTTTTTGTCATTGGAGACAGTGTCTTAATTTGTTGTCATATCCATATCACTCTCCTACACGCTCCTCCCAATTACTTGTCCAACATCTTCAAAATCTTGCTGGTCGACAATATTTTTGATGGGAGCTCAGACATGTTTTTCAGGCTCTGGTTTTGTTGATTCCAGGACATCTGCCAGGACATCACCAATGAGCACACTGACATCTGACCTCCTTATGCTGTCCAACTGCTCCAGTCATGCAGAGACTTTAGATATTATTCTGTTATACCTATTAAGATATGCTCATAAAAATGGAAAGAAGAGTGATTATTTTACAGGTGGACTTTTTTCATGGGTAATTATTACAAGTGTGTCATACTGACAAAGAGAGTAAGAGACTGAATTTGTTAAAGGAAACATCACATGATTCTTTTGTCACTCGAGTGTCAATGGAATTCTTTAAAAATGTAAAATTGGTTTGGGTTTCCTGGTGCGGTACAAAATAGCCTTTGTGGAGGCTGTCAGAATTGTGTGCACACTTTGGCTTGCATCATTTTGGAGAGATTATGTGTGTGTCAGATCATGGATGATAGTGGATAATAAAAGGGTTTGGATGGTCTAATCATTAAAACGGACTTAACCTTAATATCATGATATGGGTTTTACAGGGATTATCTGATGAATCTCATCAGCACAAATAATGCGGCTCCACCATTACCAGTGCTCTTCTATTCTTTGTGTATGTGTACACAAACATGTCATACTGTGATGCAGCGTTGCACATTTTAACTCCCTTTTTATTTTATTTTATTTTTTACAATGAATGCATCTTATGTCTCAGACACAAGCTACCAGGTTACAAATCTCATGATGTTTGCAGCTTTCCTGTGATTTTCATCCAGTGGCGTGGCCCACTCGTGAGCTTAAACGAAGTCAAGAGTGTCATTAGATTCCCTCCTCAAAGCAAATTTGGTCAGCTGTTTTGTTTGCCGGAATTAAGGAGTGAATCCCGAGAGCAAAGTGGTTGTTGCAAAAACGTTCACGAGTGCAAACATCCAAACTGTGCAGTCATGGCTTATGCACACAGAGATTTGAAAGCCTCATTGCTTTCCTTTTGTCATTTACCATCAGACCTCGTATACACACGCACACACACACACACACACACACGCACGCGCCCACATGGACGTGCACGATACGCACTCCCGACACACGCATAGTTGTCCTTCAAACCTCTGAGCAGTGTGTGCTTCATCACTCCCTCCTTGTTTCTCTGTGGGAGTGATTTGTCGGTAAGGTGGGGGAGTTAACACTTCGATGAGCAAACAACAACAGACTGCCCAAAAATACATTTTGTGGTTCGCACTGTCGTAGTGTTTGGTTGATCACACTCGGTGTGAGCTCGGCTGACTGGAGATTGAGCAACTTGCACTGTGCGACTTGATGACAACTTGAAACCCACAGGGCCATAAGGACTGTGCATACAGTTGATAAAGCCACAGTGCATCCATCTGCTGTTTTTCTTCCTGGATAAGACAGCACTCCTATTGTTCCTGGAAAAGAATGAATCAGAAGGTTTACAGGCAGGCGTGGGTCTTGAAGCTTGTGTACTTTCTCTCGGGCTCTAACCTGTCTTTTTGTTTTTTTCTGTGACAGATTTTGGAAAGCATCTGGGATCACAGCAGCAGCAGGACTTGTGGTCTTGTGGGAAGCGTGGCGCAGTGGAGGGAACCGTGCCATAAAGCACCCACTCGGGGCCCTTGCCAGCAAAAGACTTAATACTGAGCACATTTGGGACCTTCGGCAGCGGGCGGTGAGAGAAGGAGGCCATGTGGACCGCACGCCTGCTTTTCCTCGCCAGCCTCTTTACACCAGCCGCAATGGGTGAGTCCGGGCCATCCAGTGAAGTGTTGGTGTCTGCGAATGTGAACGTGCTGTCATACAGCTTAACATTTGCATTATGAGACTGGCACGATTTGATAAAGCCTCAAGTGCTGCAGTAATTTCTTTTCATTCCTTTAATCTTTTCACCATCAGGTTCCTACAGCCATCTGTAACCGGAAAAAAAAAAACCCAAATAATTTTTTCCCCTCTATTTTTAAACTCTGTTCTCATTTTCTGACTCATTTTAGCTTTATGTGAAAACTTCGTGAACTTTGTGAAACCTTTTTTACTTTATTTTTCTTTCTTTTTTTTCACTGTTGTAAACTTTGAACCAATGTTACTTACAAACAGTCTTTTGCTTCTCCAGTTTCTCAGATTTCTTTCAAAATGTGAAACTGTGAAAGTTTCTGAAAGATCGGAAATGAAGGCAAAGTCAAACCTTTCACTGCATCACAATCGCAAAATCTTATTGGAAGGTATCTCTTTTCACACTGCTTTGACACGGAAGCACCTCAGTTTTTGACTTTGGTCCTATGTGGACTGTTTCAGGGAGAAGTAAATGAAGTCATCTAAATTCATATTAAAAGAAGTCAATGCTCTGGTACTGAAAGGTTTTTGGGTGAGGGTTTACATGTCGGGAGGGTTGGGACTGGGCCGGTGGCCCATTAAAATCTTAATTTGATATGGTTGAAACCATTTATGGGAAATTTCGAGCTAATTGAATTGTATATTGTGCTGTAATATCGCTAATGATACCCCACTCCTCTGGTGTCACTGGTTTTCTTTAATATCCGATAGAATCTCAAGACACTTTTGTTTCATCTATTTTTAGAGACTGCTGCTTGGTACAATTAAAATTTCAACTCAGTTAAGTTGAATATGGAATTCCAAAACCATTGGTTCTTGTGTTTTCCGTCAGAGGGAAATTTATGTTAATTGTTTAGGATAATTAAATGAATTGTCCTGACTTGACTCCACTCCTTTGAGTTACGTGGGATGAACACTGTGCTGTGACTACAAGTATTGACAGGTTATTGGAAATCCTGCTCCTGTGAGGTCAGCTCGGCAAATTAGCTTCCATTTTTCTATGAAAGCCTCACCTGCAGACCGGCTGGCCATTCAGAGCTTCATTTACGTCCCGCTGTTTGTTACAGTTCTCCAAATTTCTTCCGGTAAATTGACTGAGGACCGGCGAGCTGAAACCAGCATGATAAAACTTGCGCAAGTCCACCTGGTTCTTTATATGAACCGGTTTAAACATACACACGTGATATATTTACAGCGGTAACTGATTAACTTGGACATTTTTGAATGTTCGCAGAATCCCACTGCCAGAAATGAGCCCCCCCTCTAGCACTGCTTTGGCAGACACTTTCATTACAGCGTTGGCTAAGCTCAGGCCAAGAAAATTGGTGAGTGATTCACTGTCAAATGGAGGCGCTTTCACACCTATTCCAGGTTTTTGACCATTCTCGACACAGTTCTGTGGAGAATGGTCTTTCAAAGCAAATCGAAGTCGAGCCTCCGTTCAGCAAAGCTTTCCGTCTTCCACTTCTTGGGTGGAGCCCAGCAGCATGCAGAAGTTTAGTGAAACAAAATACCATGATTTTTTTATTCTAGCCGGTTCTGCTCGTTAACTTTCACTATGACATATAAGAATTCACGTGAAAAATCAAACTCCAAACTTTTACAAAAGTCAGAAATATCCAAGGCTCTGTTTCCTGACAGCAGCTTTTCAGATATCAGCATTAAAATGTTGGTCGAAAAATCTGCTCCCCAGGGGATTTAGTTTATTTATTTATATATTTTTATTTATCTATGCATTGCAGTAACTTGCTACTGTCGGCAAGGCTTTGTGGCTGCACTTTACCTTGCGTATGAAAGGCTAATTCCAGCTTAAGTATGACTCCACTACACTTGCAGAAAACCCTGAAGAATCAACCATCACACCTATAAGACTGCATCCCAAAATAATATTTTGATGACATTTAGTTGTGTATATCAAATGCCAACGTTTATGTCACATCAATTTCTAGAAACGTCTGTAAAATAGATCTCTCTCAGATTTTTCTTATTTTGTCCACTGAACAATGACACAAGTAAAACCCATAATAAGGCAAAAATTAATTAAACTTTGAACCATGAATTCTGAATTAATACAAACCCAACAGTTGGTCAGCATTATTTGTTTGTATTATTTATTTGAGTTTTGTAACAGCTTTCCAGTATTCGAACATTTGTGTTTCTATCAGCTATTTTACCTCAATGTCAGCCATCCTTTTAACACACAATGTACAAACCACATGTGGTGGCTACCAGCGGTTGGAGAGAAAGGATTCAATAATACCTAGAACTGTGTACATTTCTGTTACTACTAAACAAACAACTATTGTAAAAGAATGAGGCCTCTGTCTGTTACAAAGTGGCTCAAATATCCTTGAAATAGTAAAACATTTGACATTCTGCAACAGTTTATTTAAAGCAAATTAAATATATATATATATATATATATATATATATATTTTTTTTTTTTTTAAAACATATTTTTGCTCAGCCACAAATCATATTAATGCAGTGTTATAATCTATAATCTCCAAACATAACATATTTCTCTGTATTTGTGGCTGGAATTTCTTACTGTTCAAACACAATTTTTCAAAGCTGTCTAAGCCATGTGAAAAAATGCCATCTTTAACACCGTGCGCCAGAAGTAGACTGAAAAATGTTGAAACTTGTTACAGTCCGTATACGATCGATCACTCTATTCCCTCAATTTTCCATCATGGATTATTTCCACAGGATCTGGAGACATCAAGCTCACAAACATCAAACTTCTATGGTTTACGTGATACATAACAAAAACAAAAAAAAAACAATCAGAATCTTGGACAAATGAAGTGGTTGACGCACTGTAAATAACTTGACATCTCCATTAAAAAGAGACATTTTTAACTCCCAACCCAACCCTAATGCTCTAAACAGGCGGTCCAGATGTTGTCGGGGAAGGGTTTTGCAGCTGTGGAAGCAGTACTGGGAGTATTCACTACAATGGCATTGTGCCCAGAGAGCGTTGGAGTGTACTCCAGGGAGATGGTGGCCTACTTTGGTATCTTATGTCCCTTTTGTCTGTATACAATCAGCTACAGGCTCGTGCACATATGGACAGGCGGCGTCAGACCCCGAAGCTGAAACAATTTCACAAACATGCCAAGTTTCAGATTTACCGATCCAACACGCACAGAGAAAAATGCACAAACGCGCACAAACCATTGAATCTTAGTGTTTGCAGATGAAGCTGAACAGTGCTCTTCATTTCAAAGTCAGCAAAAGCACAACTTTTTGAAATGAGGAATGTTTCTGGACACGTGTCACAGCAGCAAAATAAGTAGTTAGAGAATGGAGCTTAAGGGGAGATAAGGATGTGTTGCTATGGTTGAGTGCAGTTATCTTTTTGTTTGACTGCGTTTGTGTATGTGCGGCTACAATGTCTCGCAAGATTAATAAAATGTACCATCCCAGATGTCGTCACTGAATCGAGAAATAAGGAAAACACATCGTCCCTGTTTTGGTAATGGAGAATAACAAAAGCAATGCCCCATACACTCCGGCCATGCCTGAGCAGCACATTAATCATGTGTTTTTGTGCATGCAAAATGCTCCAGGAAGGATTTTATATTCATTCCACTTAATACAACCCCACGGAATCGAAGATGTAGCCACTGTTACGGATGACGGCTCAAGAAAGAATCCAAGAGGCAAAAGCATAGAGTCTGATGGGCATTTTTCATGGTCAGATACGAGCGCATACATCAAGCCTGGAAGCAGAAATCATTCTGGGGGAACTGAAGACAGGTGGTATATAATGAGCGATGGATTAAAGTGAAAACAGATGTGTGCGTGACATCTGTTTAGTGCATGAGAGCATCGATATGTTTTTGCAGCTATCAGAACAAAGGCAGGTAAATGGCAATTCTGCAGGACGGGGTGTGAAAGAAAAAAAAAACAAGAGAAGACATCCATCTTGCCTGTTCATGTAGCACTGCAGTCTTTTGCGGGCATTACACAAAATTGAATCTTAGCCAAAAGGCACCTTACAAACGCCCTTTTTTACTCAAGTTGAAGCACTGGCACAAATATGCCAAGGTTAGCTTCATGAAACTGAACAACATTAAACTCTTCACGTCAGCCTCATTGTTCCTTTACCCGATCCACTTAATTAATCCTCTTGTGCCAGGGCACCGACTTCATTCGCCAAAGCATCCCTTGATTTGCCTAATTTGCTTAATTAATTAAACAAACGATTTATTTGAGCTCATATTTCTAAGCTGCAGAAAGTTCCTTGTCGAGCCCACTGAGGCTTGTACTGTTTTGTTGTGACTGGGAGATGTCTCATGAAGCATTGCAAATAAGTGGGCTTTGGAGTGGGTGAACGTCAATCATTCATTTGCAGCAGCTTAATAATGTATACTGTAGGCAAATGGAGCACTCCAGGCCATGTTGAGTGATATAATTATTAGAAGAGAACAAGTTCTAGAAAGTTACTTGCAACCATGCCAGTGTTCTTTTCAAGGGAAAGGACGGTACTTTCACTGTGGTTAAAGTAAAGCTTCGTGATCTAAGTTCTGATGTTGAGCATGAACAGAAAGTTGATGTTTTAAAGTTACAAAAGTAAGCCTGGAAATAGAAGCCTCAGATTGCCATCCTGATCCACGGTGCAAGCCAGACTTCATGTCTCATTTCCAACATTTCTTTGACCCTTTCGTGGCGTGTCTTGTTCTTACTAGATGACTGTATGGATTAGTGTTTGGTTGACAGTGCACACAATAATTAAAAAGCTTTGTAACTTGTACATAACAGCACTCACAGATGTAGTCATTTGCAACATTACAAAACGTTGACATTTGTGCGTCTCTAAGTTCTGGTTGTACGTTTATCTGTTAAAAAAAAGTTAAGCTCAGCTGCTGGTTATTCAGACATTGTACACGTATTTCTAAAAATCA